AGATTGCGAGGGAGAGGGGGACAGGAAATCAGCAACCAGCTTTCCTTTAAAGCAGGACAAAGCAAAAACTAAAGGGAATAAAGTCTTTAAATAAGARTCACCCACCCAAACAACTTCCCAAAATTTGACTTTGTTACCTGAGTTGAGATCAAACCTGACATGATTGAGGAACAACGAGAGGAGTTTGTGAATCACTTTCCACGGTGAAGCACTGGAAACCCTATAAGACACTCCAGTATTCCAACCATTTTCAGAGAGCCCATGAATACTAGTCACAATTTTATGCCACAGCCTATCTGTTTCTTGTGGGAACCTCCATAACCACTTTCTAGTAGAGCCTCATTCTTTTCTTTCAACCTTCCTAACCCCAATCCTCCAAATTCTTTCCTCCTAGTTATAATATCCCATTTTACTAAACGATCTTTCTTCTTCTCGCCCGGTTCCCACAAGAAATCCCTCATTATTCTCTCTGATTTCTTTCTCACAACTTAAGGCAAACTAAACACCGAAAGGTAGTAACTAGAAGGTTTGCTAGGGTAGACTTGATAAGAGTAATCCTTTCGCCCAGAGAGATATAATTCCTCTTCCACACCGCACGTTTCTTTTCAAACCTCTCCACAACTAGATTCCAAAAATCTATGCTTCTGGGATTTTTACCAAGGGGGAGCCCTAAATACTTGAGTGGCCACTCACTACTTAACATCCTAGTTCCTCGGCCCAAACATTAATCTCTTCTGGTGCTAAATTGATCCCTGCCACCTGGCTCTTGTGGTGATTCACTCTTAGATTTGTCACTTTTTCAAAGAGTTTTACCAACATTCTCAGATTTCTTGCCCCTACGTCATCACCAGCCTCACAGAAGATAATGATGTCATCTGCAAATTGTAGATGCGTTAGCACCACCCTCTCCCTTCATACTTTCCAATCCTTTAACAAGCTTACCTCCGCTGCCCTCGAGATCAATCTACTAAAGGCCTCAACTAAAATGGTGAAGAGGAAAGGGGACAAAGGGTCCCCTTGTCTCACACCTCTTAGTGCACCAAAGAAGTCCTTAATTGCACCATTCACCAACACTGAAAAATGGGAAGATTGAAGACTTCCTTTAATCCATTTACACATTCTTGCCCCAAAACCATACTTTCTCTCAGCACACTCATTGGCAATGAGTATTTGATCTAGCTTACACACAATGCCCTTCCTTCTTGCTACCTTGAAATCCTCCACACACTCATTGGCAATGAATATTTGATATGAAATTTGTCTATCTTGGATGAAGGCCCCTTGAAAATGAGATATGATTGACAGTAGGGCCTTTTTTAACCGAATAGAGAGGACCTTTGCAAGGATTTTATACTGACTTGTCACCAGGCTGATTGGCCTAAAATCCTTGGGGTGGCAGGCACCAGATTTCTTGGGAACCAACGCAATGAAAAGCAGTTGCAAACTTGTAATTGCTTCAGCTGAGTTATTGCTTTGTCCAAGGGAATAAAGGAGATATTGATGATAACTATTTCTATTTTCCATATTTTCATGCAAAACCTAAAGGACATTGTCATCATCATCATCCAAGCCTTATCCCATCTATATGAGTTGGCGACATTCATCGCCATTCCGTTCTATTTAATGCATTATCCATTGTTAAATTGTTGATACTTGTATCAWTTCTTACTACTTCTACCCTTGTCCCTTTTGATCTACCCCTAGCCCTTGTAGCCCCTACAACTTGCAATAAATCATTTCTTCTTACGGGTGCTGTTGATGGTTTTCTATGCACGTGACCAAACCATCTTTGTATACTTTCTCTCATTTTATCACCTATTGGAACTACTCCTAGTTCCTTYCAATGACTCATTTCTGATCTTATCCTTTCTAGTTTTTCCACTCATCCATACCAGCATCGAATTTCTGCCACACTCATTTTTTTTGACATGTTTCTTGACTGCCCAATACTCTACTCCATACTAGAGGAGCAAGTTGCACAGGTTGGGCTGGGTTTAAGCTCAATCCAAACCCAACCCTAAGAATTGTGCTTGAGTAAGCCCCAACCAGGCTTGATGTCATGCCCGATTTGTCAAACCCAGGTCTAGCCCACACTGAAATTTGTTGCAATTGGGCCTGGGCAGGGTTCGGGTTGGTTAATTAGCTCACACTAAAATTTGACATAAATGTATGTCTGCATGCATGCATGTATACAAATATGTTTACATACATGTATGTATGCATACAAGTATGTGCCTATATATGTATGTATGTATGCATATAGTTGGGCCAGGCTTGGGTTGGGATAAGGTTGAACCAGGTTTCGGCTGTGCTTGAGCTACTTAAGGGCTAAGCCCAGAACCTGGCCAAACCTGAAAAAAAAAATAAAGACCAAACTTTTGGGCCTAGGCCCAGCCCTAGGACCGAAATCCAAGCCTAACCCATGTAAAATTGTGGGTTGGGTTGGGTTGGTTTGAACTCGGGTTGGGCCTGCCCAAGTTACATCCCTACTCCATACAACATAGCTACTTATGACTGTTTTATAGAAGTTTCCTTTTAATCTAAGTTGTATTCACCTATCACATAAAACTTTTGATGCAGCCCTCTGTTTTTCCCATTTTGCTCTAATTTTATGTGAGGCATCTTCCTCAATCTCTCCCTTGTTTTGAATTATTGAACCATGGTATCAAAAAATGTCATGTTGAGGGTTATCTTGCTGGTTTCCAATCTTAAGTGCACCCTGAATTGCTCTCCTATTTGTATTAATTTTCATGTCATATATTCTATTTTAGTCCTACTTATTTTAAAATCTCTTGTTTCCAAGACATTTGTCCATAAGCTTAATTTTAATTTTACATTCAGCCTTCATTAGTTTCATTAATTAAAGCAAAGTCACCAGAAAACAACATGCACCATGGGACCTCTTCCTGAATATATTTGGTCAAATTCATCTATGATTAGTGCAAATAGATAAGGGCTAAGTGCTGAACCTTGGTGAGAACCCACCCTAACTACGAAATCTGATGTCTCTCCCACAGTTGTTCTAACATTGGTCATTGCATCCTTATACATATCCTTATTTAAGTGTATTTACCCATTTGGAACCCCTTTCTTTCCAAAGACCCACCATACTGTCTCTCTAGRAACTCTATCATATGCTATCTCTAGATCAATGAACATCAAATCAAAGATCTCTTTTTTCTTCTCTAAACTTTTCTATCAATCATTGCAAAAGAAGATAGTTTCCATGATTGATCTCCCTAAGATAAACCCAAATTGATTCTCTGATATACATGTTTCATGTTGTAATCTTTGCTCAGTTGGTCTAATTGATAACTCACAATAACACATCTTGGCATTTGTCTTTGAAATTTATTCTGAAAATAGTTGCTTAGTTTAATACCGTACTTTTATATGTTGAGAATGATGTTGTTAGCTTTTTATAGAGAAAAATGGACATAAGAAAGAAGCTTGGAAATCTTGATGTCACGCTATAAGTTTTTATATATTGTGGTGTATGGTGTGGTATAAAGACATGTTGGGAGGGCTTTGTATGGCAACTACCATAGATGTAGCATGAGGTGGATATCCTAATAATTCCACATGCTTGATGTCTCCCCCCTCAACTGTGGCAAATTTTAACTTAGCAAACCCTTGCCAAGTGGCCACCATTTTTTTTTTTTGAAAATTTTGACCTGTTTAACATTAATCTTTCCTTGGTTGATGATTGACATCCTTTTCAGTCTCATGCCTTGAAAATTAAAGAAAAGAAATAAGTAATCTCTGGGAATGTTGGAACTGCTGTAAATGTCCAAATATCTGATTTTCACTCTTCATRTAGTTTCTCTCTATATTGTTGTTTCTTTTTTTATTTCGATATTTATATTCAATTATCTTGGTGTCTCATTCTGGGATTAATAGATTGATCAGTTAATTTTCTTCTGATTTTTATATAGATCCCCCCTCTCTCTGTGATAATTCATCTTATTTTAAATATTATATTGATGGGCGTGTTATTCTTGTATTTTGACACACTGCATGTGATGCAGGACATTCATTTCCTAGGCAAGGAATTGAGGGAGGCTCCAGCTCCTATCGATTACCATTAGTATATCATTCCCTTTCTGGTTTATGTGTAGGGGTGTATATTTGTATCAGTGAATCTGTATCTAATTGCTATATAGAGGAATAAGATGTAGTAGTCCGTCAAGGGTGATAGAGAAGGGTAAATCAGTGTAATCCCATGTAGAAACACGCTATTTTACAGTATGTCCTTCCTAAGTGGGTAAATATGAACTTCTGATGAAAAAGAAAGAGAAATTGAATCTGGCTTTGGGGACCAACAGCAACAGGTAAGTGGTTGAATGGAATTGCTTCTGATTACTTATTATGGGTCCAAGCTTTTAAGTTTTAGATGGCTGGTACCGGTCTAGAGGCGAGATCCTTTTCCTCTTATTTCTGTTTCTGAGTGATTTTTAATTTTTGTACAAATTATGTTTATTTAGGATGTGTTTGTTGAGCCCGGATCCTGTAAGCAAAAAACGTGGTCTTCGTCTTAATTGCTTGGTTGTATTAATATTTTGGGGTGACAAGCCTTAGAAAGTGTGAGTTCGAGACTTCAAGTCGGCCACTGGTCTATAATCAGACCACCACTGACCACTCCCAAGAACTCGACAGGACCAGCGTTGGGTAACGATCTTTTGGCCTTTTAAGGTGGGTGAAATTTAATTAAGGCCGAACAGCGTAACGAATAATCAGTATAAATCCATTCAAATGTGCTGAAAGTAAACATCGTGGTTGAATCGTTGCAGGAAAATAAAGCTCAAATCAACTCTAAAACATCGACAGGAGATGGGGTACCGCGGATGGTGAAATCGGATTTGGTCCTCACAAGACCGTGATCACACCGATTGCACAGTCATTTATTTGCATGCAGCTTTGAATTGAAAATATTCCCGATACACGGTTATAAAACGGCTCTGAGAACGGTATGAACATAGTCTTGTGAGCAATGAAACCGATCTCAGTTGTGTATCGTCGTGAAAGCTACAATATATGTCATTATACGATTCAATAGACAAACCCAATCAAAAGCACCCCTAGAAAATTTGGTGAATTTTTCGTTGGTTAAGGGGGGTACCGAAGAAGTTCTGATGATGACCAAAGAAAAGAAGACATGCGAAGGGGATTTAAAAATCGTAATTGAGAACTTTCAAAGGAAGATCACACCCCTGTAGAGCATTTAGAAGTCGAATAATCATCATTGATTTACAGTTTTACCGGTTAGCAGAGTGGTACCTTACATCATTCAGACCGTAAAAACCGTCAACTAAACTGGACCTCAAAGGTTCTCAGGCCATCACTGGTCAAACCAAACACAGCCTAATTTCATCTTATTGCATTTAACTTACCTGCAGATTTTACGGTTCTACCAGCTACATTAACAAACCCAATCACAGAGAAATGGACACGTCACCACTCTGCCCTACTACGGATTTTCTTCTCTCACTCTGGTTCAATGGCTCTTTGAGATGGGCAAAGAAAAGGCCGGTCCAATCTCCATGAAAGCAAATGGATGGTACCATCTCCATATCTTGTGATGATATATTGGATATTACAGAGAAGACCATGCAATCAAGGTTCAAAATATTGATATGTTTGATACACCAGTAGGGGCATATCAGGTGAATCGACACAYATTTTTATTGCTTTTTTTATATTTTTCGCAACCGGTTCAGGGGGCCGGTTTAGGTCTCCTCTACCCCCTAAATCRGTCAGACCTCTGATACATCCACTGTAGGGGCGTATTGGAGGGGTCCCGGAATGATACGTATCGACCGATACGTGTCGATACTTTGAACCTTACATGCAATACCAGCCAAGAAAAGTGTTGATGTTGAAATTCGCCACAAGGGTAGAGATGGAAAGTTATTGGAGTAGGGTATTACCTTGGCTCGAGACCTTGACTAATGAGGGAGACCTGCAATCATAAGAAACACCAGAGGCCCCGAGGTGATATCCCAGGGGCATGGACTCTAACGGTTAAGTCAATAATGGCAAGGGAGGAAAAAGTGAGTTGGAGAACTCAGTGGGATGAATTGGAGAGCTCGGTGAGATGAGACGTGTGCATAGGCATTCAACATGCATGGTAGCATAATGTAGTGTAATGGTGTGTTCAAATGAATGAGGAACTCACCTATTTATAGGAGAGGGGCTTCATCCAATAATTGACATGTCATTTACATGTGGCCAGAGCTTAGTCCACTTGTCACACCCTTGGTTGACACGTGTACACATTGAATGTGTAAACATATTATACACGTGATAGTTAGTGGACATGTATAGAAGGCAGTAGCATCGATGTTCTGATCAACTCAACCACATGTTGTTTGTGCATGTTATGAGCTGGTGCCAGGTTAGCTCGACAAGATCATGTCAATAAGTTAGCTCAGCCAAGTAAAATCGACTCATAGGTTCATATAGGTTAGGTTAGCTCGGCCAGGTTAATTAACAACTTTGTCGTCCAACCTACTACCAGTTGACGACTTTTGACTAATAATCGATTTTGGTTGTATCAAGAAGCATCATAGCCACCACTATGCTAACTCGTGCCATGGTTGTGATGAGTTGAGCCGAAAGAAAACAATCTTTGACTGAGTAAGAGAGGATTTTCATTAGATGATTCAACAAAAAGGGTTAAGGGTTTGTACTTGTAGACAGGAAGATCTGCCAATGTATGAGTACCTCAAAATGAATAGTTATTAGAAGTTGTCATTCCAATGGGGGTTCTAGGATGAGAGTTTGGGCCTTTGGGGTTTAGTGCAAGGGGTGTCATTCTCTCAAAATTGAATTGAAGTAAGGTGGATGGGAGCTCAATAAACTAAAACTTCGTTTTAGGAGTTAAAATGCACTTGGTTTTGAACTCTTAACTTTTATAGAAAAAAGTTGGAGTTGTGAATGTAGAAGTAGTTTGATGAACAAGTGGAAGTATTTTACACACTTACATTTTGAATATCTAATGTTATGATGGTGTTTGGTATGACTTCCATTTATTTGAAAAACGGTGCCAATTCATCATCATGTAGACATTTATCCCAAAATACTATTTGGTAAGATTGTTTATTTGTATTTATCAAATAAATGCTTGTCTCAGTTTATTTGTGAGGCAACGGTTGGGGGAAACTTCATTTTAAACCAAAGTGTTTATTTACTATTTTGCTTATGTGGTGCCTAGTGGCATCTAATGGCGTTTAACTATCAAATTACACTAAAAAAATGTTTATCAACCACTTTTTCTCGGTGTATCAAATAAATATTTGTCTCGATTTATTTGTGAGTCAACCGTTGGGGGAAGCTTCATTTTAATGTTTCCCCAACATCAATGTGTTTATTTGTTGTTCATTTGTTTGGCTTATGTAGTGCCTAACGGCGAATAGCTGTCAAACAACAGTAAAAAATGTTAATCAACCATTTTTTTTTCGATTTTGAGGACAAATCAAGTACAAATGTTTTTTAAATAAACAGAATCCATACCAAACATCACCTATATATGAAGTGTATGACTGCCTTGGTTTCTATGCAAGTCATAACATTTTAAATAAAAACTAAATAGAAGGTTGATATCTTTTATCTTTTGCCCTTACTGCAGTTGTCTGTGCAGGCTTGCACTAGTATGATAAATTGCATTATAAAACTATATGATATTAGAAAGTTTATGAGGATGTTAGTGGATCATGGGCTACAAATTATAGTTTAGAAGAAAACTTTCAAAGGTGCCTTGACCCACTATTTTACCAAAAAAAATGTTGGTTTCACCTTAAATCTTATTTTTTAGTATAAAAATAAAATAATACTGGTGTAAAGGGCATATACAAGTAAAGAATGAAGATATAAGTTAACATTATAAAATCAAACTTAGCTTTTTCATTAGCACCAAAACCAAGGCAAATGTATTCTTTATAATAGTATAGTTAATTATGAATATTATATATGCATATATTATCTCACATTATGTTATTTTATATTATGATGTTTCACAGGCTGACCCGTGATCAAAGTATTGGACATCCATATCCATGGCCTTGGTAAATCGAAATACATGGAGGTTTTTGAAGGTATCCATCTCTAAGCCTATTCTAGGATGAGAAAATTAAACAAAAAAGAAAAATGTATTGGTCTATTGATATGCATAAATACCCAATTTAATGTCACTGCTTATTAATATTTTGATTCTTGTCCTTGATTCATAGATAAAAATGGTTCAGCTTCTGGGTTAATTTTTAAATACTGAAATTTCTATTGTAAATGATAGAATTTCAATAAAAAAAAAAACTATTTGACCTTTAAAAGCACAATTTTCAGAATTTAAAAGTTAGACCAATGCTATCAAACAATCTAAGATTGGAAGAACAGGGCTATAAATGGGTCCGATCTGAGTTTATTTGTATCTACGAAAATCGATGTGCAAATCCAGACACATTCTATGGGGTTGGGCTGATTTTAATATATGAGATTGACTGGGATTATTGAGAGAAGGTGGGGGGGTACACGAGGTATATTGTCTCTCCCTATTTTATTTAGACAGTGGTTGAATTGGTGCATTATTCGAGTTCTTACTTCTTACAGCCCAAACGATCTAACCGATCGATTAACCGATTAAACTGTCTTATTGAGATTTTCTGTTTTGTATTCGATCTGGATTCTGGAAATGCTTTGGCTGTGAAAAAACGGGGTAACGTGTCATACGGAGGAAATTCCAAACAGCCAAAGTCATGTCCAGTCATATTAGAGAGGGAAATCCGAAATCAGCGGGATCAGAGACCTCAAATCTGTCGTATTTGATTGGCAGCGGAAATTTTGATGCAAAATTTTCCTTTCGTTTGTCAGTTTCCCTCTTGTTATCTTCCTCTCTTTCATTTCTCGTGAATCGTGAATCCGTGATTCGTGACGTCGGGCGCTCATAATTGGTGATATCGACTAACTGAGGCAAAATTGCATTCGCGATGGAACAGTGCAAGAATCTTTTACCAGGTATATAGAATTGAACCATTGGATGATGTTATTTCAACAATGGACCCGGATATACAGCCTTGTGCAAACGGAGATTGATAGGGATGTTATTTCAACAATTTCATGACATGCAGGATTTGTAAAATTTGTATAAAGGCATTC